GAAGCACCTGACAGAGCAGTAACAAGAGAAGGTCCTCAAAATATCAGAGTGTATTAGGTCAAATGGCTTGGGTGATTGGTGCATGCGAGGAATATAACTGGTTCGGACATGTTTCGATAGGGAACATATAATACAGTCAAGTTTACCACCAACACAAGTATTGCTCAAAGCAGGAAATAACATACATAAGTATTTAAAATTTTTATGCCCAAAACGGTCATGCCATAACTGAACGGTTTTTTGATGAAAAATCATAACGACAAGTACTAGGCAAAATACTAGCATGCAAGTTAGGAACAGATAGAGACAAAGCAGGTGCAGATGATGGAGGTGGATCACCTAGATAATACAATTCATCTCTCCCATGTCCCCTGATAATAATCCTCTTGGTTCTCAGGTCCTGCAAATAACACGAATCAAATAAAAACACAACCGCAAAGTGAAAATTTTTGGCTAATTGATGTATGAATAATAGATTTATTACCAGTTTTGGCGCATGAAAAACCGAATATAATGTAAAGCCATCTGGGAGGCAGACTGTACCCCAACTAACAATAGGGGCATGTGTCCCATCAGTTAGCTGACCCTGTGTGTGTAACTGCTCGTCAAAAGTGGTGAAGTGATGGGTCTCGCCTGTCATATGACTATTCACACTCGAGTCTAACATCCAAAGAGGAGACGAACTGGCGCAAGCATGAAAGGCGCGAGGTATACCTGTAGTGGTGGAAGTAGCAGTAGTCGGACCCTGAGAAGTCAGGGCGGACATAAGTATATCCAATTGGGAAATGATAGCATCCATATAACTCTGCCAAGGAGGAGCAGCAGCAGGAACAGCGACAGTAGGTGGTGGTACCTCAACAATAGCAGCAGTACGGCTGCGGGGAGGCGGCTTAAGCTCCGGATAGAGCTTTCAACAAGTAGTCCTGAGATGACCTGGTCGGCCACAATAATTACACTGACGAGAACCAGGAGGTACATTCTAGGGGGAAGTACTAACAGTAGAGGTCTCAAATCCCTCAGTAGTAGCCATAACAATAACAATACGTGGGCACTCATGACAGAAAAAATTACTCTAAGATAAATAGAGAGATAAAATAAGGGAAAACAATATACCTCCAGTCGAACAATAGCGACAGATAAAGAAGGTCCAGAAAGCTCCTAAATAATCAGGTCACGGTGCCTAGAAATCTAAGAAATATAAATAATGGACCTACTGCGTCAAGAGCAGATCAACGGATAAGAGGATTCAACCCCTCTTAAAAGGCTGAAAAAAGAAGGTAGTGGCGCAAATAGATGGCAACACTACGACAAAGAACGTGGCGCACGAAGGTAAAACACGAAGGCTGGTTCGCTAGAGTGGGTACCGGGCTGGTTGGGCTTTGGGTGCAGTCGGCTTTGGGTTTTTGGTTCGTTTGGGCTTTGGGCTTTGGTTGGGCTTTGCTTATTTGTTTATTGAGTCGGTGATGGGCTGGAGTGAGGCAGTCGGTGCTTTTAAAAAATGCTACAGATCTCACTGTTTATCCACTTGGAATGTTTCAGACTCTCAATTCGCAGCAGTCGGTACTGTTCTGGGGTGAGCTAAGGTGGTAGGTAGATGGGTTTTCCTGATGGGAGGCTGAATGCAAGTCGTTTTGCTGATGGGTCGCTGGGTTTGTGGGCTGCTGTCGGTGATGGTTTGCTGGGCTGATTTGTGTTGATTTTTCGGTGTTGGTATATGTTATAGGTGGTCTGGACAGTGGGCTTGGCTGCGCAGTCGGTGGTTATAGGAAGTCTGGGCAGTGGGCTTAGTGAAGTATGTTGTTTCGGCACGGAGACGACTTCGCTGGTTCGGTTGTTGTTTGAGTGGTGGCTGCTTGGTGTGGTTATTGGGCAGTCGGTGGTTATAGGTTGGACTGGGATGCTTGCTGGGAAGTGATTGGTGGCTAGTTGCTGATGCAATATGGAGGAGGGGCAGCGGCTGGGTCTGTTTGGTTTTGACGATTGGCGGAGGCTAGGTTTAGGATTAGTGGCTCTAATACCAACAAGAGATATATGTGAGTGAAAGGGTTACTCAAACTAAGAGTAAAGCCCCGTATATATAGTCAAATAATACAAAGTGACCTAAAATATAAAATCATAGTAAGGGTTAAAAAGGGAAAAGAAACCCTAATAAACAAGACTATATTTCAACAAAAAATAAATTTGACCCTCCCATGCCATGCAGTGGTGGGAGCGTCGCCCTTTAATTGGTTGGTGGTCCCATATACTAGATCACTCCATACTGATGAGAGAACTCACCTTCTGATGTAATTAAAATTTGATATATTTCTTTTTCCTCCAAACCAAACCTTTACTCTTCAAAGGAAATTTTTTTTACAGACAGTCATTTACTACACTAATAATCTGGTATCAATTTAGAAATGTGGCTACTTACCGGAAGTTTTGGCATCATAATATGATAATAATTCTTATCATTAGCAATTGATTTTAATTGGCTGGAGATTGTGATAATTTCAGTGATGAAGAATGTGCTCTTGTTGAAAAGTTGTCTTCACTTAGGGCAGCATCATGCAAGGAAAATTCAGTTATATCTGATGGTAATTTTTTCCTTTGATTTTATTCTACTGTTGGGTGTTTAGGTTGGGAAAAAGGTATTTTGTCGAAGGTTGATACTTTAAACTATTAGGAAGATAAGCTTCGTCCTTTTCAATAGTTTTCTTTACCTTTTAATTTTCCAGACTCACCTAAAGCCAACCTTGACAAAGGAAACAGAAACCATGCTTCAAGCCATGGAAGCAAACGTGGTGCTTCTTTATGGAGCTCAATCAAGGACTTCTTGGGGTATGTTAATGTTTTGGTCATTATGTTATTCTGTTTTATCTAGTTGGATAATGAACCCCTATGTGAGACTTCCTCAAGAATAAGAATTAGAAACTTATTTATTGCATTTGTTAATGGATTTCCATCTCAATATTTGTTCTCCTATTTTTATATATTCCAGCACTTATTTTTGTAACAAGCAGTGATTTAGAGCCAGCTAGCCACTCCTTTTTTTTCCCTATGAAAATTGGAGATTTATAGACCGATAACCACACTTTTATGGCCTGAATGTATCTCAAACCATTATGTGCCCAATCTATGCTTATGTAAGCTTAAACACAAACAATTCCTTTGCCCATCATATAGTTGATTGTTGACACTGAGTTTGTAAGTGCTATCTTTCTGATGCATGACACATGAAATAGCTACCAAAGGATTGGTCTTTTGAAGTATATATCTTTGTTGTCGTATGCTGTTGCTTTATGTTAGAAGAATGGCATCAAATTGTTCTTGTACCAAACGTTATCCTTTCAAATAAAAACTGAGACCATAACCAATACTTCCAACTGTATTGATTAGAGTGCTTGACCTAGGTGGCCTTGCTGCTTTAAAGTGGCTTTTTGGAGAGAACACATGGTAGGGTTTTTTAATGTCTACTAATGGACATTTTAGGGGGGAACATATCATAGTCTGAAGAGATGCATAGCTTTTGAAGAGCCTTGGGCTTTTAACTCTCTGTCTCTCCCCCCCCCCTCTTCCTCCCTTTCCCTTCTCTATCTCTTACTGTAGATGTTGAGAGGGGTGAAATGGCAAAGGTGCCATCCCTCATCATCTCATCTCTCACCTTCTCCCTTTATCCCTCTTGTTCTCCTGCTTACGAATAAGCTGACTGGAAGTCTCTGTTTGCGCCCTTTTTGTTTCTTCCAAATCGTTCTTTCATGTCCTAAATTTTGTTTTATATGATATCCTGAATTTGTTATTAGAAAACTTCAGTAGTTCCATCAGCCTTATGCACCTGTTATGAATTATCTTCTTCTAACCATTCCCCAATTTACAGGCGAAGGCAACCCGGAAAAGGATTTGCATCACTTAGCACGGAGACATCAGCAATGTGCAGCAGGCCCCTGCCGAGTTTTCCACTCATGATTTCAATATCAACTGTTTTGATTGTTGCATGTGTCTTAACTTTGGTGAGTAAGATTGGTTACTGTACTCTATTGCCGCGGAAAAAACGGATAAAACATGATCCTCGTTACGCTAAAACAAGAAGAGAACGGCATTAGCAATTTGTCCATCTTTTCCTTGTAGGGTGGTTGAAGATAATCAATGTTTTGTTGGAGCAAAATGTATACGTAGTGCTTTTGAATATATTGATATATATTATCTTTTGAATATCCATGGCCTGGCTCTTGAGATCGAGACATTGATATAATGCCCTTGCTTGATACTAGAAGTCTGTGATACATGCATCCATCCATATTCTTTGGGAAACTCTGCGTTACTTTGGTACTGCTACTGTCAATTACTACTTTGTACGGTAAAGTTACAATTTAAAAAAGAAAAGTTAAAATTGCTCAGGGAGATCATGATCGATCATAGACATTTATGATCGATCAAGAAACACGTAATATCAATCCCAACATTTCATAATCAATCATGCCATTTGAAATTGTAACTTACATTTTAAAAAAGTTGTAACTTGACATTAAAAAATTATAATTTTTGATACTGATATCGCCAAAATTACCGTAAAAAATTTTATATTCTTTTGGTAAAGTAAAATTATTTTAGTCACGTGTCTTTTGGAATCATGGTCGTAATTTGCAACGCAAATGATGAATGTGTATAATTGTTCAATAATCATGCACCAGTTAAACCCGAGTTTTTTGTGGTTGTGGACTTTTGGTATCCATGTTCTTCCTTTTATTGTGTTCTGATCTTCGTTTGAATTATTAAGGTTATAAGTCTTTCTCGATATTGATATATCTAATATTATAATTTGAAAGTTGAATTCTTAACTTATAAACATAAAACAACGGTCAAGATTAGTCTAATTTTTATTTACTTTAATCTAATTATATAAAATTCATTTCAATTATTTTTTTGTCCAAAAATATTTTTTTTTCTTCATGGTTCTCACACAACTCAACTAATACATTTATTAATCTCAGATAATTTTATCAAATTACATCTACCTCTCTTATTTTTTCTTTGTTTATTTTATTTTTAAATTATATAATTAAAAATAAATAAATAATTATTATATAAAATATCAATATTGTACAATCAATACACAATTTTTAATTTTGTGGAGTAGCTTTTAGGTTGTGTGAGCCTCCAAAGATAAAGGTAAATGAACAACTATTTGATTCCTGTCAAATTTTACATTGAATACTTTACAGGCTAATAGACATAAATAAATAGCGTGTCCTTCTACTGAAATGGGCTGGAATGCTCGTATGCCTAATCTACGCAGAGTGATACGGCGAAATTCATTCTTATTTGAATGAGTTACCAAAATGAACATATTTTTGAATTCAAAACTTAATTTCATTTTGATTACAAAAAATAAAAATAAAAATTCAAGTGATGTGGTGTGTTATGTTTATATGGAAAACTAGGATAATAAAAATATAACCAATAGTAATAAAAAAAATACAGGAATAGTCAAAAGAATAATGATGTAACAAAAATAAATAAGTTTTATGTATTTGTTTTTAATACAACCACCACACACCTCACATGCAATAATATACATACGGTGGATACTTGTTCACTTTCGGTCATAAAACCACACACTTCATACACACACGTGGTGGACCCTTTTCTATCTCTCTCTCTCCTATTTTTTTTTGGTACATGAAATAGATATTTATTCTACATATTTGTCAGATAGCATTGTTTATCAATACTACACAACTATCTGTAAAAAAATTTATTGTACCAAAATCGGAGCCTGAAATTAAGACCTTACAGAGAAATTCTGGACACTGAATAGTAGGTTTAATCTCAACGAACGATGAAAAATCCAAACATTGAGTAAAAAAATTATAATTTTTACCCCCCACTGAACCAACCGGTGGATGGTTCTCTTCTGAATCTTTCGAGAACTTTCTTGTTGATGGAGAAAATTGGTGGTAGTGCAGCAGAGATGAAAACATAGTCATTGTGTTGGACACACCTGTTGAAGACTAAGTTCACAAGTGTCTTGTACGAGTACAACACTGGTAGGAAGTTATGAGTTGAACAGCTTTGAAAATTCACTTGACAATTGGCATACAGTTTGAGAAATGTCACGTAGTTTAAAAGAGAGGACTACGGTATTTCCAAAAAAAATATATATATTTAATTTATCGGATGTGGTCATTTCATCTAAAAAAAATTAAATAATTGGATTGAATTTATAAAAGAGTTATAAAGTATATTAATTTTAGAATTTTAAAATCAATTCAGATCATTCGAACCCAATTCAAAATTGATCATTGTTTGAGTCTACGCTCAATAATCAATTAAGCTCTCGAACCAAACTTAACCATGTCAAAATTCGAATGTGTTTGGTTTAAATATTAGAAAAGACTGGATTAGACAAATCGGTCTATCCTATACCAATCAATTCAACCCTTGGACTAGTTAGGAAAGACACTCGAAAAGTTTTTGTTGATTAACAATCTAGAAAGAGGGAAAACAAGCTAGATAATGAAATGAGAAAAGAAAGAAGATTGCCCACCCAACTGCCCTCACAGTACCAGCCAACTTGGTGAATACTAACTAATACAACTTGTGGTTGCGTGGTATGCTTGGCAAACTTTAATCATTCAAGCATTTAATAAACTCCCTCACCTAAAACTTGAGACTCTCATTATTTTTCTAGTTGTACCACCACCTCTTTATTCGGTTGGTTAACTTGTAAAGTTATATACTTCATCCGTCAATGTACGGAATTCCTTATAATTGGCATTTCAAGCTAGGACTTGATTAGGGTTTCGACAATTAAAAAAAAAAAATAGTATTGTATTTCTAAAATTTATTATTTTAATGGGTATTTTTATAATTTTTGTGGGTCATTTTATAATCAAAAAATTTATTAATTTTATGGGTGTTTTTATCACTTTTCTTTGGTACCAAAAAAAAAAAAATCGTTTTTGTGAGTGATTTATCACATTTATTGGTGTTTTTATCACTGTTGTGATATCTATTTTTACCATTTTTTTTCAATATCATATCTGTAATAAAAACACTCAAAATATAATAAATGTTAATATTATACTAATTTTTTTTTTTGGGGGTACCGTTGGCAACTCCTTGAATTTAGGAGAAGCCTATTGTTCATTATTGTGGTTTATTTTTATATTTTTAAGGATAATGTATTTTTATATTTTTAAGGATAATTTACTACTTTTGAAGTCTTTTACAAGTTTTAAAAATTAATTATTAATTATATTATTTGAGGATCACTTATAAACTCGTGGAAGTCATTCGGGATCGATCCAAAACTTTTTAAGATTGACCATAAATAATTCACTAAAATTGTAATTTGAACTATAAAAATTATGATATGACTTCAAAAATTACAAATTTTTTTGCGGTAAATAAATTTAAAAATTTATATAAAATTTAGCGAAAAGGTACCGAAATTTTTATTTACCTTAGTCTTGTACTAGAAATAGTCACACCTTGTAATCTTGAGGTTGACACCTACTCTGATATTCTCAGCCGGGTCTGTCAATTGATTAATTAATTAGTGCAACAACAATTAGTTAGATGGGTCCTACCTCCATATCTACTATTGGATGATTGTGACAGCTTGTCGTCCCCGTTATAGAAGTTTAGAATTTTGGCCACAAATGGAGAGATTTGTTTTTATTGGGGTTAATTATATTGGCACCCCTTGTTTTTCATAACTTTAAAGAAATACCACGCTAGTTTTTGATATTGTATTGCTGGCCCTATTACGTTTTATTGGGGTTAATTATATATATATATATATTTTTTTGCATTAAGGATTAAATTGAGAGTTTAAATTATGGATTACGTTGATAATTTACGGTTTAACCATTGAACAACAGAGAGTTGGTATGAAAGTATAAACCCAAAATAGAAAGGAGTATAATGGAATATAAAAAATCACAATCATATCTTTTGTATTTATACGAAATCATAAGGGTTGTTTGCATCATTTATTATGATTATTTTATTTATTTTTGGTTCCACTTAAGATACTAGGAGAGAACTTTATTGTCATAAAAATGGTTGAATTTTGAGAAATTATAGTAGGCGGTTGAAACTAAAGTAGAGGGAGGGAACTACCTATGCCTAAGCTCATAAACACCATATATCATAGGCTCCATTAAGATATGATATGAAGATGGATATAATTGAAATTGATTGGGTCCAGTTTAGTTGGTCACTTTTAATACTCTTAAATAAAAAGTCAGAGAGATCAATTCTTATCCAAGTAAAGATGGATTGATCCATCCTTTACCCCTTTTTTTAGAGAATATATTCTGCTCTTTTTGTGATTCTAATAATAATTATGAGGGTTGTAATAATAAATTATTAATAGTTTCGTATTAAATCATGGCATGTTGAATTTGTCATTATAAGGGTTGTCAAGTTAATGGGCATGTTTGAATCTAGTTTAAATAAATAATTTTAAAGAATTTGGAGTAAAATCAGTCAGGTCTATTTAGACCGACCTTGACTTTTTTACTAGTTTATGTTATAATTTTTTTTGACCCAAAAAAGACTTATTTAAGCTGATTTGATGAGCTTAGCTTTTCTTTCAGTTTTTTTAAAGTTTTGTTGCGAGTCTCACATATTTTTTTAGTTTATTATATTTATAAAATATTATTAATAATATAAAAAAATTTAAAAATTATATTTTAGGAACTATTATGCATAATCTATACAAACAGGTGATTTTTTTTTTTTTTTATTTTGACACAAAAAAGTCAAAAAATCACCCCAGACAAACTATTTCAACTTTTTCAGTTTTTTAAAGAACTCCCCAAAGGATTTTAAAAGATTTTTTTAACTCTAATTTTTTTTATGAAACTTTCAAATCACAATTTTTTACCTAAAAAAATCAGCTCCAACTAAACTAAATATAGAAGGGTGCAAATTCTTTCCCTGGTGGATGTATTATAAGGTGGTTCTCGTCTTCCGCGCAACAACATTATTTTTTACTAAA